AGTGTGCGCGAGCGGGTGGAAGGCGACTCTCGTCCGCACGCGGCTCTGCCGGTGCGAGTCCGGTGCGCGAGCCAAGGAGAGAGTAGGTGACTAGGTCGTGTGCTGGGGGAGGGAGGGGGTGTGTCACGTGTGTGCGCGAAGCCTGTTGTGTCACTGTCAGTCAAGCCACACGTGCTGCACCTGCACGGTCATCTTACTAAGACAATGAACGACAAGTGACCACCATTTAGTCACCGGGCGGTCGCGCGCGAGCTGGGTGCGGATCTCTCGCGGCGTCGGGGGCGCGAGTGGGAGAGATTCTCAAGTGATGTGCGAAGAAAAAAGCGGAGCAGCCCCGGCCCCTGGCCAAACCTCTCCAGACGGCCGTAACGGAGAGGCGCCTCCATTTTCGCAGAAACAACGCGACGCGTGTTTGGCGTGCGGCGCTTAGCGGACAGTCGGCGGTGTGTTTGGCCGCTCACATGGGCACGTCGTACTGCCGTCCGAGGATGACTGGGATCAGAGTCTGAAGCCACGAAGGCAGCGAGTCCCGCGGCAGCGTCGCCATGTATTGAAAGGCGGTGATGATGACCAGGATCGCCCACGGACCCGCATTCTCCTTCGAAAACACACCGGGCGGCGACCACTCCTCTGGCTCGTCAGCCATAGCCACTCTCGCCGGTCGCCGGCCACTGTTCAGCGCGGCAAGCGCGAACGGCGTCGTGATCCGCGCGGGAAGTCGCGTGGCGATCGGCGCGAGCGGCGGCGAAAGACTGAGCACGCAGCCGACGAGGCTGAGGAGGCCGATGAGAAGGCCGAGTGTGCCGACCCGGGCTGCCATATACACATTTGCGGGTAGCGCCGGCTAAAAGAAGAAAAACCGCAGGTCGCCGCGTGGACACCCCGCATGGATACCCTCTAGGCCCCCCGCGCTGGCCCAGAGGGGAGACTCCCGAGGCCGACCGAGCGTATCCCCCGGTATCTCCCGTATCTCGCATCTCCCGGTATCTCCCGGTATCTCCCAGTATCCCCCAGTATCCCGCGGTATCCCGCGGTATCCCACCATATCTCGCCGCGGACACCGTGAACAATCGCGAGTGTTTCGCGCCGCGGCGCGGTCATATCACTTTCCAACTAACTGTCATGGAGACGCGCAGCGCGGGAGAGATTTGACGAGGTGGACGAGACTGAGGGAGGGTGTAGAGGATGTAGAGTGTAGAGCGCTGTAGAGCTGTAGAGATGTAGAGCGCTGGAGAGCGCTGTAGAGCTGTAGAGCTCTACATCCGCCGCGTGACGATGTGAGTCGCCTGTAGAGCGATGTAGAGGCGCTCTACAACGTGAAATCTCTACAACAAACTCTACATCAACCACGGCTGCCACCGTCGGCGCCTTCGCTCGAGCTCTCCGAGGCCGCGTTCTGACCTCGTGCCGCGGCTGTCGTCGCTACAGCAGCGACGAGGGCCGCGGCAAGGGGGGTGCAGCGGCGACGGGCGGGGGGGAGAGGCGCGGCCAGCTACCGGGCCGTTGCCCCCGCCCACCGCGCCGGCCCCCTGCACCCGAAGGCGGCTTGCGGCAGCCTTCCCGTGTCTCCGTGCAACCCGCTTGGGTAGCCGGCCATGTGTGATCGCTGCCGGAAAAATCCGGGGTTTAGCTGGCGTATCTCGGGCCCACTTTAGAGCTAGGGCATGATCTTAGGTGTTTTGGATAGCCCACAAGGGTCTTCTGTGGCATGGTAGCGGTGGTTTTGCGCGAGGCGTTCATTCAAAAATCACCATTTCCCCCACTACGTCGAAAGGCTTTCCCGGAGCCCCCCTCCCTTTGTTAGTAGCTCTCCCGTAGGCGCCGATCGGCTATGACACGGCCTGGCTTCTTGAGTCCACAGGACAACGCGTGCATGACGTGTCAACATCACAGTTCACACCCGAGGCGTGGCGTGTGGGCGTGGCGTCCCGTATGGTATTGCCCGTTGAGTGACGTTGATGGGCCCCCGTGCAAACCCCACAATGCCTAAACTCCCAATCTATAATAGCAGCGCGGCTCACCACCAGTTGGTCGAGCCGAACACACAACTGGGGGCGCGTCGAACATGTGCTGGCCCGACGCCGCTCCTCGCGCCGACGCATCACCACCGGCGCCACCCGCCGCCCTTGCCGCCCTTGCCGCCCCCCTTGCCCTTGCCACCGCCCCCCTTGCCGCCGCCCCGGCCGCCCCAGCTGCGGCCGCCCTTGCCGCCCTTGCCCTTGCCCCTGCCCTTGCCCGCCGACGCGGCGGCCGCCGCCAAAAAGTCGGGCACCTCCTGCTTCGCGTCGGCGAGCAGCTGGGTGAGCTGCGGCGCGGTCTTGCGGTCCGTCTTCGCCACCCACAGCGTGTGCGACTTGCCCGTCGCGCCCGCGCGGCCCGTGCGGCCGATGCGGTGGACGTACGACTCGACGCCGTCGTCGCCCTGCGGCATGTCGAGGTTGATCACGTTGGTGACGCCCTTGATGTCGAGGCCGCGCGCGGCGACGTCCGTCGCAAACATCATCGGGCAGCGGCCGCGCGTGAACTGCTGCAGCGCGTACTCGCGCTGCTGCTGGTCCTTGTCGCCGTGGATGGCGCAGGTGCCCGCCGAGCGGAACTCGCGCGCGAGGCTCTCGCACTTGATCTTTGTGTTGCAAAACACAATCGTGCGGCTGCCCGCCGGCAGCTCCGCGACGAGCTGCCTCAGCCGCTCCGGCTTGGACGCCTGCGCGACACGCGTCGCGGAGCGTGATGTGGCCGAGTCACGGGCGCGTCGTGGACGTGGATGTGGCGCCCTGCCGACGCGGACATGCACGTACACCATGCACGTGCACTTGGCGTGCCGTGGAGGTGCTGCGCCGCCGCGGGCCGCGACGCAGCGCGGGCCTCGTCCAGCCTGTGTGCATCTCGGCCACATCTCGGCGGTATCTCGGCGGTGTCGCGGCGGTGTCTCGGCGGTATCTCGGCTACATCTCGGCGGTCTCTCGGCTGCCTCGTCGGTCTGCTCAAACGTCTGCGTGATGGCCGCGTTGGCGACCAGCTTCTGCTCGGCGCCGCCGATGAAGAGCATCGCCGCGTCGGGGCGGAGGTAGGTGGCGGCCAGCCTCTGCACCTCCTTTGGCCACGTGGCGGTGAAGAGGAGGGTCTGCCTGCGGGGCTGAGGGGGGGCGGCTCGGCAGAAGGTCGCGGGGAGGGGCCGCGTGGTGCGAGGGCGAGGAGAGAGGGGCTCTGCCTGCCCGGAGGGATGCGGGCGAGGACCGAGTCGATCTGCGGCTGGAAGCCCATGTCGAGCATCCGGTCCGCCTGCTCACACCTCCGGCGGTGAACAGCGTCTCTTCACACCTCCTGCTGTGAGCATGTCGAGCATCCGGTCCGCCTGCTCACACCTCCGGCGGTGAACAGCGTCTCTTCACACCTCCTGCTGTGAACATGTCGAGCATCCGGTCCGCCTGCTCACACCTCCGGCGGTGAACAGCGTCTCTTCACACCTCCTGCTGTGAGCATGTCGAGCATCCGGTCCGCCTGCTCACACCTCCGGCTGTGAACAGCGTCTCTTCACACCTCCTGCTGTGAACATGTCGAGCATCCGGTCCGCCTGCTCACACCTCCGGCGGTGAACAGCGTCTCTTCACACCTCCTGCTGTGAACATGTCGAGCATCCGGTCCGCCTGCTCACACCTCCGGCGGTGAACAGCGTCTCTTCACACCTCCTGCTGTGAACATGTCGAGCATCCGGTCCGCCTGCTCACACCTCCGGCGGTGAACAGCGTCTCTTCACACCTCCTGCTGTGAGCATGTCGAGCATCCGGTCCGCCTGCTCACACCTCCGGCGGTGAACAGCGTCTCTTCACACCTCCTGCTGTGAACATGTCGAGCATCCGGTCCGCCTGCTCACACCTCCGGCGGTGAACAGCGTCTCTTCACACCTCCTGCTGTGAGCATGTCGAGCATCCGGTCCGCCTGCTCACACCTCCGTGCTGTGAACAGCGTCTCTTCACACCTCCTGCTGTGAACATGTCGAGCATCCGGTCCGCCTGCTCACACCTCCGGCGGTGAACAGCGTCTCTTCACACCTCCTGCTGTGAACATGTCGAGCATCCGGTCCGCCTGCTCACACCTCCGGCGGTGAACAGCGTCTCTTCACACCTCCTGCTGTGAACATGTCGAGCATCCGGTCCGCCTGCTCACACCTCCGGCGGTGAACAGCGTCTCTTCACACCTCCTGCTGTGAACATGTCGAGCATCCGGTCCGCCTGCTCACACCTCCGGCGGTGAACAGCGTCTCTTCACACCTCCTGCTGTGAGCATGTCGAGCATCCGGTCCGCCTGCTCACACCTCCGGCGGTGAACAGCGTCTCTTCACACCTCCTGCTGTGAGCATGTCGAGCATCCGGTCCGCCTGCTCACACCTCCGGCGGTGAACAGCGTCTCTTCACACCTCCTGCTGTGAACATGTCGAGCATCCGGTCCGCCTGCTCACACTCCGGGGGTGAACAGCGTCTCTTCACACCTCCTGCTGTGAACATGTCGAGCATCCGGTCCGCCTGCTCACACCTCCGGCGGTGAACAGCGTCTCTTCACACCTCCTGCTGTGAGCATGTCGAGCATCCGGTCCGCCTGCTCACACCTCCGGCGGTGAACAGCGTCTCTTCACACCTCCTGCTGTGACCATGTCGAGCATCCGGTCCGCCTGCTCACACCTCCGGCGGTGAACAGCGTCTCTTCACACCTCCTGCTGTGAACATGTCGAGCATCCGGTCCGCCTGCTCACACCTCCGGCGGTGAACAGCGTCTCTTCACACCTCCTGCTGTGAACATGTCGAGCATCCGGTCCGCCTGCTCACACCTCCGGCGGTGAACAGCGTCTCTTCACACCTCCTGCTGTGACCATGTCGAGCATCCGGTCCGCCTGCTCACACCTCCTGCTGTGAACAGCGTCTCTTCACACCTCCTGCTGTGAGCATGTCGAGCATCCGGTCCGCCTGCTCACACCTCCGGCGGTGAACAGCGTCTCTTCACACCTCCTGCTGTGAGCATGTCGAGCATCCGGTCCGCCTGCTCACACCTCCGGCGGTGAACAGCGTCTCTTCACACCTCCTGCTGTGAGCATGTCGAGCATCCGGTCCGCCTGCTCACACCTCCTGCTGTGAACAGCGTCTCTTCACACCTCCTGCTGTGAGCATGTCGAGCATCCGGTCCGCCTGCTCACACCTCCGGCGGTGAACAGCGTCTCTTCACACCTCCTGCTGTGAGCATGTCGAGCATCCGGTCCGCCTGCTCACACCTCCGGCGGTGAACAGCGTCTCTTCACACCTCCTGCTGTGAGCATGTCGAGCATCCGGTCCGCCTGCTCACACCTCCGGCTGTGAACAGCGTCTCTTCACACCTCCTGCTGTGAACATGTCGAGCATCCGGTCCGCCTGCTCACACCTCCGGCGGTGAACAGCGTCTCTTCACACCTCCTGCTGTGAGCATGTCGAGCATCCGGTCCGCCTGCTCACACCTCCGGCGGTGAACAGCGTCTCTTCACACCTCCTGCTGTGAGCATGTCGAGCATCCGGTCCGCCTGCTCACACCTCCGGCGGTGAACAGCGTCTCTTCACACCTCCTGCTGTGAGCATGTCGAGCATCCGGTCCGCCTGCTCACACCTCCGGCGGTGAACAGCGTCTCTTCACACCTCCTGCTGTGAGCATGTCGAGCATCCGGTCGGCCTGCTCACACCTCCGGCGGTGAACAGCGTCTCTTCACACCTCCTGCTGTGAACATGTCGAGCATCCGGTCCGCCTGCTCACACCTCCGGCGGTGAACAGCGTCTCTTCACACCTCCTGCTGTGACCATGTCGAGCATCCGGTCCGCCTGCTCACACCTCCGGCGGTGAACAGCGTCTCTTCACACCTCCTGCTGTGAACATGTCGAGCATCCGGTCCGCCTGCTCACACCTCCGGCGGTGAACAGCGTCTCTTCACACCTCCTGCTGTGAACATGTCGAGCATCCGGTCCGCCTGCTCACACCTCCGGCGGTGAACAGCGTCTCTTCACACCTCCTGCTGTGACCATGTCGAGCATCCGGTCCGCCTGCTCACACCTCCGGCGGTGAACAGCGTCTCTTCACACCTCCTGCTGTGAACATGTCGAGCATCCGGTCCGCCTGCTCACACCTCCGGCGGTGAACAGCGTCTCTTCACACCTCCTGCTGTGAACATGTCGAGCATCCGGTCCGCCTGCTCACACCTCCGGCGGTGAACAGCGTCTCTTCACACCTCCTGCTGTGAACATGTCGAGCATCCGGTCCGCCTGCTCACACCTCCTGCGGTGAACAGCGTCTCTTCACACCTCCTGCTGTGAGCATGTCGAGCATCCGGTCCGCCTGCTCACACCTCCGGCGGTGAACAGCGTCTCTTCACACCTCCTGCTGTGAGCATGTCGAGCATCCGGTCCGCCTGCTCACACCTCCGGCGGTGAACAGCGTCTCTTCACACCTCCTGCTGTGACCATGTCGAGCATCCGGTCCGCCTGCTCACACCTCCGGCGGTGAACAGCGTCTCTTCACACCTCCTGCTGTGAGCATGTCGAGCATCCGGTCCGCCTGCTCACACCTCCGGCGGTGAACAGCGTCTCTTCACACCTCCTGCTGTGAACACGTCGAGCATCCGGTCCGCCTGCTCACACCTCCGGCGGTGAACAGCGTCTCTTCACACCTCCTGCTGTGACCATGTCGAGCATCCGGTCCGCCTGCTCACACCTCCGGCGGTGAACAGCGTCTCTTCACACCTCCTGCTGTGACCATGTCGAGCATCCGGTCCGCCTGCTCATTGAGGGAGAGGTTAACATCTCCGTTCACTCGAGGAGACCCCGTCGAGCGTCCCGGCCCGCCTATGAGTGCACCCAAAAACACAACCCCCGGGACCCACGACGCACAAGCGCAGACAGTCGAGAAGGGAGAGACAGCGAGGGCAGTCAGAAGCCAGCGCTGGGTCCCAGGAAGGCGAATGCGAGGACGGCCTCTAGTGCGAGCTCTAGCTAGTCCACTCTCGCAGAGAATGCATTCTGACGACTCACGACGACCCTCGGCGAGCCTCCGGCGCCGCCTCGCCAATCTCGGCTGTCTCCCGGCTGCATCTCGGCTGCATCTCGGCTGCATCTCGGCTGCATCTCGGCTACATCTCGTCGGCCTCGTCGAGCACGAGAAAGCGGCACGCCTAGCTCAGCCCCACACCGCCGTCAACAGAGAAGAGGGGCGCCGCTCACCGCCCGCCGAGTCGGGGGGTGGAGGCGCGGCCAGTTCGGCCGGTGAGCGGCGCTGTGTGTGTCTGTGTGTCGCTCCGGTGTGTGGGCCGTCTCTCCATATCTCCCCATATCTCCCCATATCTCCAGAGTGGCCCGTCTCCCCCTCTCCTCGTTCGCCCACACACGCACAGCGCGTCGGTGCCGCAGCCGTGGCACGACACCGAGCGTCTCGCGCCTCTCTCCCATCTAGAAGAGAGGCGGCCGGTCGCCTTCAGGTCGGGTCCTCTCGGGTCCTCTCGGGTCCTCTCGGGTCCTCTCGGGTCCTCTCGGGTCCTCTCGGGTCCTCTCGGGTCCTCTCGGGTCCTCTCGGGTCCTCTCGGGTCCTCTCGGGTCCTGTCGGGTACTGTCGGGTTCTCTCGGGTTCTAGAGAGAGGCGCGCTCCTTCAGGTCGGTCACTGGCGGCGAGTCGAGCGCGAGGATGTCGTTGATGCGGCCCGGCGTCGCGACGACGACCGCCGGCCGGCCGCGGCTGAGCACACCGATCTGCGGCCCCTTAGGCGTCCCGCCGTACACGCACGCAACCTTGACTCCGGCGGGCGTGCCGAACCTCTCCGCCTCGACGTGGATCTGCACCTGACGTACGCCACGCCTCTCGCCCCTCAGCCTCGAGCCTCGGGCACCGCGCGGGCGGGCGGGCGGGCGGGCGGGCGGGCGGCTGGGTGGGCGGGCGGGCGGCTGGGTGGGCGGGCGGCTGGGTGGGCGGCGGGCGGGCGGCGTGCGGGCGGCGGCGGGCGGGAGGCGGCGGCGGCGGCGGCAGGCGCGAGGCGGTGGCGGTGGCGGCAGGCGCGAGGCGGTGGCGGTGGCGGCGGCAGGCGCGAGGCGGTGGCAGCAGTGGCGGCAGGCGCGAGGCGGTGGCAGCAGCGGCAGGCGCGAGGCGGTGGCAGTGGCGGCAGGCGCGAGGCGGTGGCGGTGGCGGCAGGCACCGCAAGCTCCCGCGTCGGCGCGAGGACGACCGCGAGCGGGCCGGTCATCGCATCGAGCGGGAGCTCGTCGCGGACGCGGTGGAAGATGGGCAGCAGGAAGCCGAGCGTCTTGCCGCTCCCCGTCTTTGCCACCGCGATGATGTCCCTGCCGCCCATCGCTATCGGCCAGGCCTGCGCCTGGACAGGCGACGGCTCGGTCCACCCGAGCTTCTGGAACTGCTGCAGGATGCGCGTGTCGAAGGGGGCGTCGGAGAAGGCCCGCACAGGGTCGGGAAGCGCCTCGGACGACTCGATCAGGTGCTTTGCCCGCCACGCGTCTGCCGACTCGGCGGACGGCACCGCCTCTGCGAGAGCCATCTCTGGAACGGCTGGCGCGGCGGCAGTAGTCGCGGGTGCGAGGCGCGGAGAGCGGCGCACGTGCGCCTCCTCATCGCGCGGCCGCTTACGGTCCGCCTTGTCCTCCTTCTTCTTCGCCTTCTTCTCCTTTTTCGCCGCCTTGTCGGCGGTGTCTGTTGTGGCGGCGGCGGCGGCGGCCTTGGCAAGCTTGGCAGCCTTCTTCTCCGCCTTGTCCTTCTTGTCCTTCTTCTTGGCGATCGTCTTCTCCGGCTTGAGGTCGCTCATGGTAAGCAGGCGTTGGATCGGGAGCAGAACGCGTGGGCTCGTGTGGGCTCGTAGACGGCGTGGCTTGACCTCGGAAAATAAACGCCAGAGGGCCGCCTCTGGAAAGAAAGCAGGTTTGCCTCTCGCACCCCGTCTGTTTTTGCCTTTCCTTTTTTCTTTCCTCTCTTTTCCTCTCTATTTTCCCGGGAAAACTCCGTGGAAATCGTCAAATTTTTGGCCCCCGGGCCGGGCGCTGAGCCGAGTCTGAGGCTGGTTTGGGCCCAAAATCAGCCAAATTTTAGGCAAAATCGGCAAAATGCCGGGAATTTTGCGGAGAACCCGTGTATACCTGGAATTTACCCTACGGCTTGTCCTGGGAAAATAAGAATTTACATGTCAACGGGCCACGCCTCCCCGAGCCTGGAGAGGAGCCGGCGGAGGGGGGGGACGAGCCAGGGACGATAGAGAGGCCGCGAGTGCGGGCACGATTCGCCGACCAGGGAGAGCGGACTCGACCTCTCTGGGAGGGGAGGCGACACGACCCAATGCCACCGCCCTCGCCCGGGGAAACTTCAGCAGGGCAGTCGACGCTCTCGGAGGCGGCAGTACCAGTCGGAGGTGAAGCGGAGGCGAGACCTCGACCAAAGAAGAGACATCAGAAACGGCTACAGCGGCCGTCAGGCGACGCTCGGCTGGCGAATAAAAGAGCGAATCAGGGAGAACCGGAGCCCCGGGAAATCGCGCGGAGGAACCCTGAGACGGGATGCTGAGTGAGGACCTGTGTACGTGAGTGGTGTACAGTGTCATGTCTACTAGCTCCGAGTAGAGGGGGCGTTCTGAAGTTAAGGGGAAACCCGGTACACGGAACCAACCCTCGGAGACCTGTGTTTACTTTAAGGCCCTTTCCCTGCGAACGCGCACCCCCGGGGCTAGGGCTCTCTTGCCCGCAACCCGATGCCAATCATCCGGCCCGCTGGGTGCGCTTCTTAGCTCCCCGGCCCTGGATGTGCGGATGACTGCACTCCAAGTGCTCCAAGTGCTCAACGAAAACATGCTCGCTCGTTCACCGATCACCGTCTGCCACGCCACCCTGGGAAAATAAGAAAAAGACCTATATGGAGGCTCGTGCCTTGGGTGGCCCTCGCGCCCTCCCTTGGGTTGTCCGTTTTCTTTCTTTCTTTCTTTTTTGGGTGGCAATTTGGGTTGCGACCACCCCCCATCCCCAACGATATCTGCGCCACCGCCAGCTCGCCGGATGCAACGATATCTGCGCCAGCTCGCCGGATACTCCGAAACGTCTCGAGCGAAACGTAAACTCACTTCGTCAGTGAAGGGAGGGAAGAGGCGAGACCAATTATTTTTCTGAGTTACGTACGAAGCACTGACCACTGTTTAATATCATATGTTGGGAAATAGACATGTCGGGCATGCAAACCAAAAGAGTGCCACGCCGCACGCGACGCCGACGGATATCTAGTCGAGCAGCCCGTCGTGTAGTGCGCCGCGCTTCGTCTTGTTCTCAAGCAGGACCTTGTAGAGCTCCTCATCGTAGCTGACAAACTGCACGGTACGCTGCTTCCAGTTTATCTCATTGGCAACCCACGTGTCCTCCACTCCCCTCGCTTTGAGCGCCTGCTTTTGCTGAGTGTCTGGAACCTTGAAGATGGTCGCATCGGGGTCGCCCGGCAGCAACCGGTACTCGCCGCAGTACTCGTACCAGGCCTCGCTTGCCCACGCTTGCTGCTCACGCTTGCAAAAGAGAGGGAAGACCTCAGCGTTTGGGCCATCCAGGCGGTCATTTAGTCCCAATTCCTCCATCTTGCCCCCCCATTCGCGCACCATGCCGTTCTCGCCAGCGGCAGCAGGCCGTTCCGGACTCCACGTTCCGTCCTCGACCATGTAGACGCGCCCCTTCAGCATCTTCGACGTAGCCTTTGCAGGCCAGTCCGCCACCTTGACGAACGGCGCCATTTGCTTGTTGCCTCCCACAGTTGGGGAGATGTCATAGTCGCGCCGGAAGCAATGGCGTCCTCGGTACCTCTGCAACGGCTCCTTGCCCTCGATCTTCACCGCGGTGGATGCTGAGCTCATCGCTGCCCCTCTCGTGGACTGGACCGGCATCGGTGCCGGCACCCGCACCGGCACAGGTGCCGGTGCCGGTGCCGGTGCCGGTGCCTCAGCCACTGGCGCTGGCGCTGGCTCCTTGAGCAAGTAGTCCGATACGTCATCTCTCCTCTCGCCATCGTCATACTTCACCATCCACGTGCGCTCGCTCCGCTTCTCGATCACACCAAGCGCCCAGCCCTCTCTGAACTTAGCGCGGACACGGGCACCCGGCTCCAGACAAAAGACCGCAGCCCGGCGAGGCCGCACCCTCCGTTCGGTCGCCGTCTCGTCGGCCTGGCGCTGCACGCGCGTCGCGGACACCGCATGCGCAGCCGCCGGTTCGTCCGCGGGCTCCAACTTGACGACATGCTCGGTCGGAATCTGGGCCTTCCCTGGCCATGGCTGCACCGAAGGCTGCTCGCACTGCGGGCACGTCGTTGCCCACTTGATGCACTTGTCCGCGCAGGTGACGTGGTACGGGTTTGCGGAGCAGCTGGTGCACTTCAGCGCAGGTGCGTGGCGGACTGAATTGCCACACACGAGGCATTCGTACGAGCCGTCGTACGGCTCGAGTTTCGGCGCCATAGGGGGCCTGCGCGTTTCCGCCCCAGGATTCGGTACTTCAGCTTGGTATAGTATCATCGTATTGTTCTCGAGGGGGTATCAAGGTATGCTCTAGGCCTCTGTGGGGACTTATCTCGGCTGGGTATCAAGGTGTCATCGGCGGCCGCGCAGCGAAGCGACAATTCACACCTCGCGCGGCTGCAGCCGCACCGGCTGCGGCCGCGGGCCCGTCAAACGCGACGACGGCCGCCATTAGCGCCCTCCTCCCAGCGCATTGCTTAGTGGTGCGCTCGCCTCCCTCCTGCGCGACGCTCATTCGAGCGCGTTTGTCTGTCTTGGCGCGCGCGCAGCGCGCGAAGAGGTGTGAAGAGGGGGGTCGTGTCCGGTGTGAAGGGTAACCCACCAGGGTATCAGCCTATCCTCTAGGGGCCCAATGCGGGTCCTCTCAAGAGGGTATATCAGGGTATAGCCCTGGGGTATGATCTGCAATACGATGATACTATACCAAGCTGAAGTACCGAATCCCGTGGCGCGTAGACGAAAGAAGAAAAATGGATGACTTCAAGTACTCGAGTACGTACGGTGGTGCTCAAGTCCGTCTACGAGCTGGGGAAAACAAGAAAAATTCTCGCCTTAGCTCCCCGGCCCTGGATGTGAGGTTACTGACTGCACTCCAAGTGCTCCAAGTGCTCCGCCCTCACAGCACACTGGCACGACAAGGGCGCGGACTGGCGCGGACTGGCACACACACCGGCACACCACCGGAGCCGCCTAAGCGAGTAGTTCGCGTCTCCACGTCTGACGACAGGAGCCCCACGGCATTCAAAGTGCAAGGCCCACCCAGTGCGTGCGCGTGGGTGAGCGGTGTGTGTGTGTGGGGGGGGGTCACGTCACTGCATCCTCTGCCGGTTCCTCTCGTCGCCTCTTCTTTGTTCGAATGTGTTTCAATCCATCCTTCACGAAGCCCTCCCATGTAGCTAGCGTTCTTTGCGAATGTCTCGAAATGGCCAACAGGCGCTGTCTGGTCGCGGTCCGCTGTGCGGGCCGCTCGTCCTCCTCGCCCTTCTTTCGTCCTCCCGTCCCTCCCCTCCACCATGGCCTCCTCGGCACTTCTTTCTCCATCCGCCTCGCCCTGCCTTTTCGTATCGTACCGTTCGCCCTCCATTCGGTGACCTCCATGCACCATGGCTGTCCTCCTCCTTTTGGGTGGCGCTCTCGATACCGTTGCGTCAACCTCGACGTCGCTGTCGCCCTCCCCGTCCCCGCCGTCGCCCGTGCCTCGGTTCGCGTCATTGGTAGCGTTTCCGTTGCCCCCTCGTGCCCCGCCGTCGCCCTCTCTGCTCGGGCCGTTCGCGATTTCGCTCCTCCTGCGTGTCGCCCCTCCGTCTCCTCCCCTGCCTTCGTCGTCATCGTCGCTGTCGCGAAAGCCCTCCGGCCCCTCGATTCCCTCGCCTATCCCCTCCGCTGCGTCGTCCCAGTTTATATCCTCATCCTCTGCGCACGTCGCGTTGGCTTCCTCTCTCCCCCTTTCCTCCCCGCCCCTCTGGCAGTGCCTCTCGCTGTCGTGTGTCGATCTGGTGTGTTAATGGACCCCCAGAGTGCTGAGCTGGCGCCCAAACTTTTTTTCCTTCGTTCCGAAAGAGCCCGCGACAGTTTTTACCCTGAAGGGAAAGTGTGGAGCCGCCAGGCGCTTAGCTCGGCGGCCGGAAGGCAGCATCGCGCGAGACGGAGTACATCACCCGCGGCTGCGAGCCGGGCAGCAGCAGCAACGTGAAGTCATTCTCAGAGCCGCAAGCGTGCTCCGACAAGCCCCAGCTGACGGGCGCGTCGGCGAAGCCCCACACGGTGAGGACCGCCCACGGCACCTCCCCCGACTCGATCGCCGCCGTCGCCGCCGCCACCAGCCGCCACACTGCAGCCTCGCCGAGCAGGCCCTCAAAGGAGCGAGCCAGCAGCGTGCCGCCGCTGCCGTCGCCTCCTCCTCCTCCTCCGCAGAATGGCAGCGCGTCGAGGTGCAGGAAGCCACACCCGCCTATTCCCCACCACAGGTGTGCGCGGCGCACCAAGTCTGCGGTGCCTGCCTCCCTCCGCCGCCCTCACCTACTGGCGGCGGGTGCGGCGCCGCCACGAGAGCCTCTCGGGCGTCGAGCGCCACCAGGCCGACCCACTCGCCTAGCAATAATTTGACACTTAGCTAACCTCAGCTAACATTGATTAGCGTCGTGGCCGACCCACTCGCGGCTCTCTTCTCTCTGATAATCAATAACGGGTGGGCCCTAAGTAGATGGCAGGCCCACGCACCTAGTTGGCGGAGGGCGGCAGCTCCGCCGGGTCGCGCGGCGACGGCCGGCGGCGGCGCGGCGACGATGCCGATAAAGTCCGCCGCGCCATCGCCGCTGCCGTCGCCACCGCCACCGCCGCTGCCGCCGCCGCCGCCGCCGCCGCCATCGCCACCGCCGCCGCCGTCGCCACCGCTGTCGCCACGGCCACCGCCATCACCGCCACCGCCGTCGCCACCGCCATCACCGCCTGGCCACGCGACCCCGAGTGCTGCGCACACGTCCGGCAGCGGCACGCCTGCGGGCGAGGGGCCGCGCGGCTGTCGGAGAGGGAAGGACGACGTGCGCCACCCTCGGCGGCGGCGGCGGCGGCGGCGGCGGCGGCGGCGGCGGCGGCGGCGGCGGCGCGCCCTCCAGCCGTCGGGACGCTGCGGCGAGGTCGCATCGGGTGGCGCGGAGCTCGGGCGGGAAGGCCGGCGCGGCAGCTTCGCCCTCCAAGTGCCACGTCAGCAGCAGCGTCGCGTGGCCGAGCCGCTCTGCGACGCGCGCCTAGAGCAGGAAACACACTGGCTCCGGCCCTCTCGGAGCCTGACGGCGCTGCGGCTGCAGCGCGCACCAGCTTCGCGCACGCCTTGCCGCCCGGCGCAAAGGCGGGGTCGAGGCACCGCAGGCGCACGCAGTACCGCTCGCCCCGAACGCCGTGCGCCGAGCCCAGGCCCGCCAGACCGAGCGACTCGTACAGGCGTGCACTGCACACGATGAGGAGATCGCCGCGAGGCGTGAGCGCGAGACTGCCGCCTCCGTCGAGCGCGGTCGCCGCGAGCGCAAGCAGGCTCCCGCCTCGCAGGTGTGGTAGCAGGAAGTCGGGCGACAGCAGCGCGGTGAGCGGGCCGCTCACACGCCAGAAGGCCTCGCTGGAAAGGAGCGGCTCGCCCTCGGCGGCGGTGGCGGCGGCGGCGGTCGCGCAGGGTAGCAGAAGCTCGGCGCGGTGGTTGAAGAAGTGGTCGTGAATGCACTGCTGCATGCACAGAGTGCGAGAGCGGCAACAACAGGCAAAACTAGGCAACCACACGGCGCCACCCACCGCCACAACGCCGCACTTGCAGCCGTCCACCGTGCGCTCACCAGCGTTTCGAGCGACGCCCTGCCAGTTGGCTCGATCCAGCTGGCCGACAAGGGCGACGGGACCCCCGCCTCCAAGGCTGAGCGGAGGGGCTACTACGCCCACGTCAACAAGGGACACATCCCAGACATGATCCGCTTTGGCTCCACGACCACATGCTGGGAGTTCAAGTGCTACACTCCGTTCCTCCCCTCCGGCGCAAAGGGCAACGGCTCTGCTCGCTGCGGAGGCGCCGCCTCCCGTGCCGACGGGCACTTCATCGCGCTTGGCAACACTGAGGAGCACCTCTCCGTCGTCGTTCTCGGCCACCCCCAACGGGGTGACCCGGACACGGAGGAGCAGTTGGACCGCGTCAGCGGCGACGGATGGGTGGCAGCGAAGGACGGCGATTATGCCGACGCCCTCGCCAAGGGCCACACGGTCATCCTCCTCGTGACCGAGTCGACCGGAGCATTCTCCGCCGACCTCGATCGCGTCCTCCGCCAGCTTGCGAGGACCGCACGCGCTAGTGGGTCCATTGACCACACGCCGTATGGCACCTCTCGCGCGTCCACCCGCTCACACTACACCTTCCACTCCGCCGCCATCTCCGCCGCCATCGTCACCGCCGACGCCCTCACCATCCAGAACTCGGCCGCCGCCCTCGGCTTCGAGCTCACCCTCGACCCTCGCGATCTCGCCCGGCGCTCGACGTCGGGTCCTCGGCCGCCATTGCGGTCGGCGCCACCACCTCCTCCCGCCCCCCCTGCAGCCACTGCCGCGCGGCCGCCAATGCGACCGACCCCACCCTCCTTCCCCGACCCCGCCCTAAACGCCCCCGACAGCGAAGCCCGCGCCGCGCGCGGCACCCCCACCGACTCTGCCTCCGACCCCAGGGCCTAGGCGGCCCGCCATGAAATCTAGCCGTGTGTGCTGGCGTCCGGGTCCCAGCGGGTTTTCACGTAACAAGTACACACACGGCGCGAGCCTGGAGCGCGATTTCTTCTTCGAGTTTTCTCGTTTTCAGCAGAGTGGCCGCCCTCTCCTGGAGTGGTACCACCCGCTGACATCCCACCCCGCTTACATATGCTCTCTGCGCTCGGCTCGGCCGCGGCCATCATGGAGCAGCCGCTCACGGCCGACGAGGCGCATGCGCGCGCCGCCGCCGAGGGTCTCACGCTCGTGCCGGGACCCAACGCAACCGGCTTCCGCGGCGTCCAAGAATGCCAAGGCAAGTTCAAGGCGCACTTCCATTGGCAGGGGACGGCGATTTACGGCGGCACGTTCGACAGCGTCGCCGAAGCGGCCATCGCGGTAGCCACCATCATGGGCCCGGAGGGCAGTGCACGCGCGGCGGCCGAGGCGGCCGAAGCGGCACGCCAGCGGAACACGCAGCCGTTGACAGCCGATGAGGCCGACGAAGTCGCGCGCGCCGAGGGCCTCGTGCTGCTTCGCTCCGATAGCGCGTCTGGGTACCGCGGGGTCACCCCCTCCCACAAGAAGTTTACGGCGGAGGCGTTCATCGACGGCAAGCGGACGCACCTCGGCAGCCATTTGTCGGCTCCCGAAGCCGCGCTCGCTTACGCGAGGGCGATTGGAGTCGAGGCGTGTCAGGCCGCGGCGGAGGCGGCGGAGGCGGCGGCGGCCTGCGGCGCGGGGTCGCTGCGGCAGCGCCACCGGCGCAAGTCGGAGCAGCACGGCGTGGGCGTCCAGAAGATGCAGGGCTCCAATCGCTTCTGCGCGATAATCTCGGTCGACGGGAGGCGGAAGAGTCTCGGGACTTTTGCGACCGCCGCGGAGGCCGCGCGCGCGTACGCCGACGCAAAGGCGACGACGACGACGACGGCACGCGGCAAGCAGCTGTCGGGCCCCGCCACCGCCGTCGCCACCTCTGCCACCTCCGAAACTTCCGGTTGGGCAAGGGTCCGGGAGGGGGGGAAATTGTCCACCTCCGCCGCCTCCGCCGCCGCCTCCGCCGCCCCCGCCGCCCCCGGCGGCGAGGGCTGCCCCGTGGCATGCGCTGGAGAAGAGGTGGTGACGGAGGCGGAGGGGTTGCGCCTGCACCTCTCCAACCAAACCAAGACCGGCTACAAGGGCGTGAGCCGGCGCAGCTTGTCCATTGCCCACGGCGAGCCAGAGAGGTTTCTCTTCCTGGCGCATCGCAAGGTGGGCCCCAGAGGCACCGCGAGGTCGGTCTGCCTCGGCTCCTTTGACACGGCGGTCGAGGCGGCGGTGGCGTACGCGAAGGCGGTCGCCGCCGACGACGCCGCCGCCGCTGCCGCCGCCGCCGCCGCCGCCGCCGCCGCCGCTGCCGCCGCCGCTGACGCCGCCGCTGACGCCGCCACTGACGCCGCCACTGACGCCGCCGCCGCCGCTGACGCCGACGCCGCCGCTGACGCCGACGCCACCGCTGACGCCGACGCCGCCGCTGACGCCGACGCGTTCGAGCCGCCACACGCATTGGCGCCAGAGGCTGGCGGGGCGGGCCCCTCCGAGGAGGTGGCGGTCGTGCTCTCTGGCATGGGCTTGCCGTTCCACGGCGGCGATGGCAGCGCGGACTCCGCCGCCGCGCAGACGGACTCCGACGAGGCGGCAGCGGCGCTCCTGCGGGCGGGCGTCGTGGCGGAGGCGGAGGGGCTGCGCCTGCACCTCTCGAGCCACAGCAGCACCGGCTACAAGGGCGTGGACAAGTTGGGCAGCCGCTTTCGAGTGCGGCACAAGGGCGGAAAGAAAGTGCGCAGCGTGGGCATCTTCGACACGGCGGTGGAGGCGGCGGTGGCGTACGCGCGGGTGGTCGGGGAGCCGGTCGCGAAGAAGAAGAGGGTGCGCTACGAGTCTCACAGCACCAACGCGACGCACCGGGCCGTGCAGCTCAGCATGCTCTCGCACCGGAGGGCGTGCGGGCGCGAGCAGCTGGGTCAGTAGGCTGGCCTGGGGCTGAGACCCCCGCGCTCCCGAGAGTCCAACTTGCTGGCGGGCCCAAGCACAGCTGATATGCGAACGTAGAAGCGCGTGCATGTCCCTTGTCCTCTGTCGGATCCACTACTCGTACGGTCCATGCTGCCGTGTGCGCATTCGGGCAGCTTTAGCGTGCTGCGGCGTTTCTTTGTCGGTTCCGTTGGCGTGTGTAGGGAAGATTTGGCGCGGGGGCGGGCCGGGGATGATCGGCATCGGGCGACGGGCTAGAGAGCCCTGACCCCTGGGGGGGGGGGGGGGGTTCGCGCAGGGGAAGGGCGGGCCATAAGGTAAACACGGTTCTCCGAGGGTTGAGGACCCGCGTACCGGGTTTCCCCTTAACTGCAGGACGCCCCCCCTCTACTCGGAGCTAGTGGACACATTACACCAGCATTACACTTCACACCACGCCCAAACCGACAGACACTTGCTTAGTCCGCGGTCCCGGAGCTCCACCTTCCATCCTCCCGGGGCTCCGGTTCTCCCCGATTCGCTCTCTTGTTCGCTTGCCGAGCGTCATACGACGGCCGGTGTGGTCCCCCCCTCGTTTCCCTCGTTGTTGGTGTCGCTTTCTCCGCTGCCGCCTTTCGTCTTCGCCAGCTCCCGGCTCCACCGGTTCCGAGAGTGTCGACGGCCCGGCCGAGGCTTCCCCGGGCGAGGGCGGTGGCATAGGGTCGCGTCGCCTCCCCGCCCAGGGAGGTCGGGCCGGCTCTCCCTAGTCGACGAGTCGCACCCGCATCCGCGGCCTCTCTATCGTTCTCGGCTCGCCCCTCCCCTCCGCTGGCCCCTCATCGAGCTCGGGGAGGCGTGGCCCTCCTTGTCGCAGATCCCGGTGGTCCAGCTGCCGCCGCGACGGGTCTACCCCTGGAGAGCTCGTATGTCCCGACCCCACTCGCAGGGGCCGAGTCAGCTCGGCTCTCACCCCCTCCGACAGTTGACTCCAGGTCTCACCCGGGGCCCTCCGGTCCCGGCCTTCCGGTTCGCCGGCTGACCCGCTGTCTTCCCACGGCACCCCCCCCCCCCCCCTCGGTCCCCTCCCTCGGGTTCTCCAGCCTCCGGCGGGCCGGCTCCGGATCCCCCAGAATCCGTGCGGGTCCGTACGGTGACGGCCACGCCGGCGGCGGGGGCGGAGGCGGCGGTGGGGGGGGCGGGTACGGTGGCGGCACTGGCGGCCGTACCGTCGGGTCTCTATTTTAAGATGAGGTAAACAGCAATAGATCCGGGTGTAGTGCCGGATCAGTTCCTGGAGCCAGGGGGACCGATTCGCACTTGCCAAGGGACCAATTGCTGGAAGCCTGCGAAGCCTGCGCTCCGGCCGGCAGAGGGCTTGCGACCCGTGGCAGGGTGACAGCCCGCCGGTGGGCGAGCCAAACTCTGGCGGAGGCAGCCCGCTCAGCCCCAGGCGCCCCTCGAACCGGAGGGTGGTCTGCCGCCGCTGCGCGGTCGGCGCGCCGAGGGCGGGAGACATATCGCAGCTTCGCGCCACAGGTAACCTGGGGACCGATTCTCGACCCCAAGTTTGGCAGCGCGCGGGCAGTGTGAAGGATCGATTGCTGTACAACGAGGGACCGATTCCGTGAGG